TGCCTCCCCGTATGCCTGCTTTTCCCAATCCTGCATCTTCCCCACGCATACCAGGATACAGCAGGGTATACACCCCTGCGTTAGGAGTTAACCAGGATATAGTAGGGTATACACCCCTATGTTAGGAGTTAACCAGGATATAGCAGGATGTGCACCCCTGTGTTAGAAGTTAACCTTTATTCCTTTAGTTTAGAATTCCTTTTGGGTTTGACATATTTAGGTTCTTAAGAAAGAGTTTGATGCCGGGCGGTGGTGGCGCACACCTTTAATCCCAGCACTCGGGAGGCAGAGGCAGGCGGATCTCTGTGAGTTCGAGACCAGCCTGGTGTACAAGAGCTAGTTCTAGGACAGGCTCCAAAACCACAGAGAAACCCTGTCTTGAAAAACTCAAAAAAAAAAAAAAAAAAAAAAAAAAGAAAGAAAGAAAGAGTTTGATGTAGGCTAGCCTCTCTTTTTTTCTCCCTTGAGACAGGGTCTCTATTAAGTATTTCTGGGTGCCCTGGAACCCATTATGTAAACCAGACTGGCCCCAAACTCACAGAAATTCACAGGCTTCCACTTCCCAAGTGCTGGGATTAAAGGCATGTGTCACCATACCCAGCTAGCCTCAAACTTATCTTCTGCCTAGCATTGGAGTTACAGGCATGTGCCACCATGCCTGACTTTCTTTTCTTTATTTTTTTATTTATTATGTATACAATGTCCTGCCCGCATGACAGAAGAGGGCTCCAGATTTCACTGTGGATGGTTGTGAGCCAACATGTGGTTACTGGGAATTGAACTCAGGACCTTTGGAAGAACAGCCAGTGTTCTTAACCTCTGAGCCATCTCTCCAGTCTGACTTTCTTTTTCTATTCAATTTTTAAATTATTAAAAAAGCAACAAAAAATTGGAAGAAAAATAGTTTTAAATCACAAAATAAAAAGTAAACATGTATTCCATATCTTATCAGTTTTTCAATCACCAAGCTGAAACACGCTGTTCTAAAAAGTAGTCAATCACTCAAAATGGTGTTAGTAACAGGAATATGGATCAACAGCACAACCCCAACATAGCAAAGCCTACTCCTGTTACCATGGCAACACTGCAGCATTCTTTTCTATCGGGTTTGGCATGTCTTTTGAACCAGCCAGATCTAGTCCCCTAAACTGCCAACATAGATTTGTTACTGATTTATGCTACCAGTCCTGATCCATGACCGCCAGCCCCAGCACCAATTCAGAGGCCAGGGACCTTTATAGGAGTCTTAATTCTTCAGCTTGGGAACCCTAAACTTTAAACTTCATGATGGAACTATATTCCTCTGCCCACCAAAGATTCTCAGTCCTCCCACAAGGTGCTATTATTACTGGGAAGCAGGGACATAAACAGGGATTGTGCCTCCCAAACTCCCAGTGACAAACTTTGAGCCAAGGAATCTCTCACTAATCCAGAGTCCTTTGACTAGTAACTACTTATAGGAGTTATGCTCCAGGCCATGGGGATGAAGTGGGGGCTTTTCTGTGACTGCCTTACAATGTGGAATGAAGCTTTAGAATTGTTTTTAAAAAAGGATTTGGAATCCTCGTTAGTATAGTGGTGAAAAAAAAAAAAGGATTTGGAAAATTTTAAAGATAAAGGCTAGATAATCTCAGAACACATTTAGCTCGACTTAATGGGCAATTCTAGTGGGAGCTGAGAAGCAAAGAGTACAAATAGGAATATGAAGCACTCATGGATTACATACGGGCGTGAGGACTCTACTGTAGACTGGACTAGAGGTCATTCATGCTACACCATGGCAAGAAACCTGGATATTTTTTGTATGTCACTTATTTGCCTTTTGAGATGGCTCTCAGCTAGCCTAGGCTTCCCTTGACCTCACAATGTAGTCAAGGCTAGGATTAAAAGTGTGTGCCATCATACCTGGATTCTCTTCTTTCAAGAGAAAGTTGGTGGACAGATATCATTTAAACTTTCCTAGGGAAACTGTTTTGGTGACCATTCTGCTGCATGCCTTGGTGTGTTCGTGTATTTCTGGAGTAGGTATGTTAAGGTTATTAGCTACAGACAACAAGAATCTATCCTGGCTACTGTAAAAGAAAAGGAGTTTATTAAACAGGTTAACAGCGTCATTGGGAGGGCTGATAAGGGTTCCAGGTTAAGTTCGAAAGACCCATGTCTAGCACCTCACTATTGAATGCACTTAAGATGACTCCTTGGCCGGCCCCATGGACCAGTATGCACAATGGACAAGCCACCTTGATGAGAGAGAACCTCTGAAGGCTGCCATCTTTGCTGCTTCTTGTGTGGCAGAATGGAAATTCCACGCCGATTCAGTTTCCTCATTTGAAGTCTTCAGTAGATTGTATAAGTGAGTTGGTCATATGTCTCTACTCTAGCTAAAAATAATTTTATTTTATTAAAAATAAAATTCTGTCAATGCATTCCTTTCTGTTTCTCTGTCCAAATACCTGACAGAACAGCTTGAAGGAGGACAGCTTTTATTTTGGTATTAGAGGCTTCGGTCCATGGTTGCTTGGCCCTCATGCACATGGACAGAACATTGTGGTGGTGGGAACACACAGTCAAAGAAGGCTATTCACATCATGATGGCCATAAAGCAGACAGTCAGACAGGAGCCAAAGGTCAGATATAACCTTCAGAAGCACGCCACACTTTTCTACTTTCTGCACTGAGGCTCCACTGCCTTAAAAATTTCCCAACTCCCAAAATAGAGTCACTTAAATACACGATCCTTGGCAGATAGATCATAGTCAAACCATAGCATTGGAAAAGGGACCTGACAGTGTGGAACTGGTAAGGAAATGAAATTGTTTGCTCAAAAGATATTTGTGCCTAACATTTTGACCTGCTGGCACACCGACTTCACAAAACGTGGACCACTTTCCTTTGCTACCTACACTGTATGAGTCCCTCCCCCTACATCCTCTCCCATGATAAATATATTTTCTTTGGTATTTTGACAATATGATAGGGAAAAAGAGATCTCAGTTTATTAGAATCTGTTTTTCCCCAAATAAATTAAGTTAAAATTATTTTTAGCCAGGCCTGTGTTATCAGTTGCTCCAGAGACTGAGGCAGAAAAATCACAAGACAAGCCCTGTAGGGTAAGGGCAAGGCCAAGCTAGGCAATTTAGTGAGATCCTAACAACAACAACAACAACAAGATTAAAAGTAATGGGGATGAGGGTAGCTGGGAGAGAAGACTTAGTGGCTAATGCCTTGTTCTGATCTTACAGAAGATCCAAGTTTGTCTCTCAGGATCCATGTCAGCCATGGGCTTCTGAACTCATGTGTACATAACCCCATACAGATACACATCAGTATTCTTAAAATAAAAAAAAAACTTCAGAAAAGTAATGGGAAGAGCTGGGCGTGTACCTTCATGGTGGAGTGTTTGAGAACCTGCAGCGCCCCACGCACGACTGTGCTCTATGCGCTACCATACAGTTCGCGAGCTTCAGGCAAGGGGCTGGAGATTGAAGCAAAGACACACAGAGGGACAGAGACACGGACCTCTAGTCACTGGTAAGAAGCCCTTTCTTCAATAGCACACTGGAGGCTTATATACCCAACACAGTCAGGCGGGCCAACAGGTGAAAACCTTATCCTCTGATCCTCAAGGCCAAGGCAACACGTGCTCGTGAAGCAGAGCTGGTAAACAACTTTGACACAGCTTTCAGTAACTCAAATCTTTACAGAAGGAAAGTAAAGATCTCTAGCAGGGAAGAGCAACTGGAGGCCAGGACTCCAAACTGTCCCAACATGAACCTAAGGTGCACAGAGTCCTGGGTTGATTTTCCCCATCCCCATAACAGAAGGAGCATTGAAGGTTATTGTTCCTGTGACACAGCTACCTAGATTGCCCTTCTTATTGTTAATATTTGAACACACACACACACATTTTCTGAAAATCGTTTTGCCTGCTGTGTACGGTGAAAACACTTCTTCACAGGGCCCCTCTTATCTTTTCATTGCGAGACAGGATCACATTATATAGCATAGGGTCCCACTCGCCATGTAATCCAGGCTGTCCTCAACTTGCAAGCTTTCTGCTCTGTGTCCCAAGTATTATAATTGCAAACATGTGTTACCACACCCAGCTCTGACCGCAGGAGGTTTAAATAAAGTTTTTAAAATCATTTTTGTGATTATATATATATGATTATATATATATTGATGTATATATATATAGTACCGTTACATATATTTGCCAAACTCATACAATTTATCTTTAAAATATATTTATTCTTTGGCTGTTATATACCTGTATGTAATGTGTTTTGATCATAGTTATACATCCTGATTGCCTTCTTTTATGCCCCTCCAACTGCCTTTTGGACCCTTTTCAATACATTCAGTACGTTTGCCTGGAGTAGGGGGTAAAAAATAAGAACTATGGTAGGGGTTCATGAAAATTTGGTTCATGTAAACTTTAAAAAAAGTGAGATATGAAAGTATTAATTCTTATTTTATTTGTATTTGAAACAACGCTAACCCACACACATTAAATTCCACATACACGGGATTCTTCTAATTCCATCCAAATGGAGTAGTGAATTTTCTATATATGTTATGCAGTTTCCACACAGAACCACTTTAGTTGTCAGCAGGGGCACCCACACTGCTTTTTCCATTTGTGGGAAGTCTTTATTCTAACACTTAGAGAAGCGTTTTCACGGTAGCATCCTTACTGAACTCTGCCCCTCCTTCAGAGGTTCCCTGCCCATGCCTTCCCACTGTGGGTAGTTCTTGTGGCCCACTCTTCTCAGCCCTCTTAGTCCACTTTGTCTTCCCTCTTCTCCTGACCAGCATAATCTAAACTATGCCACTTTTCCAGGTTATCCTTTTCCCTCCTCAACAGTACAGAGTCAATGACAGGCTTTATAGTTGGGACTAACTACCATCCTCCAGGGCCATTACCTTCGCTGAGGAAGAAGGGATGCATTACAAGTACTCGAGAGCCCACAGGAGAAAGATGGGGTGGTGTGTATATTCTAGGCCCTGTCAGTGGGAGAGCTCTTTGAAGGGAGAAGAGCTTGGTCATCCTTGTCCTGCTGCTCTGCATCCTGCAGCAGCCTGTAGAAAGTTCCTGAAGAACTCTCGTGATACAGTGCTTCCTTGGAACCCATCAGCCTCAAGCTGGGACTGTAACAATGGTACCAAGATGAAGATAAACCATAGACTCCCAACAAGCATAAGGCATTGATCATTACATGCCAGCAGAAGAAGGTGGTGGCAAACATGACGTCTTCATCCTTCCATGGGTAGCCAGAGACTGGTCTAAACAGAATGAAGGCTGTGTTCATCAGCCACGAGCCCATCATCAGAAAGAGAAAGTTCTTGATCAGCTGAAGGCGAAAGGACCCAGCAGCCCACAGCTCTGCTGTCAACACCAGCATCAACAGGAACACCACCAGGATGAGGAGGGAGTGGACGTACAGCTCTACCCTGGATGAGACCTGAACATGCGACACCAGCAGCAGCAGCAGCACGTAGATGCCCAGGGCCATGGAACCTCTTTCTAAGGCCACATACTTCTGCCGCAGCACGTTCTTGCTCATGACGTCTACACAACCGTCGAGGGTGAGGAGGATGAACATGGTGAGGTGCTGCCACTCTTGAGGGTACATAAACCTTGGAGGCGTCTCTTTGTTGATCAGCTCCATCCCATCATCAAGACAGAAGACCACATAAAATGTTAAGAGGGAGCCGGTCACTATCTTCAGCCAGCCCCCAAAGGCTATTTTCCACACCTTGGAAGTGCTCTTTTGATACGTGGGAGAGTCATTAGCCATCATGGCCTTGAAGACCACTGTTGCCTGATACAGTCCATACAAGAAAAGATATAACCCTGGATAGAAATGGCCACCAAACTTTCCATTCCCCATGAAATGACAGATCTATTTGTATAAAAAGTAAAGGACAGAACTGCAGACTTCTCGGCCTTCTTCTCCCTCACTGGCCCATCGAGTTTTGGTTGTATGCACGGAGATAATGTCTACCTATTTTTATCGTCTCCTTCAGCCCACTTCTCTCTCCCACAGAATGGAAAATTCTGGACAGCAGCCCTACACCTTGGGTGAGGGGCATCTCATTGTCTCATTCCCTTCTAGTGCAAAGCGAATTGACTGACTGCTGCCAAAGGAGGGGGCGTGAATGTTTCCGAAAGTGCACCTGCAGGATTGTGTGCTCTCATCAGCTCTGCGTTTGGGGCCCTGCTGGAGCCTCTGCTCAACCCCATCCCCTCTCTTGTGGCTTGATTTCTCCTGAGCCTGTCTAGTTCCTGGAGCGAGGCAGTGCCTGAGCATATGGAGTATCTAGGGAAGAACTGGCTAACTCATGACTCTGTGTGCATCCCTAAACACTCCTGCTCACTTACCGGCTCGTATACTGAGGGCAAATATTTGTGGGTTTGTCGATTGGTGTAGGCCTTGCTATGAACCCAGACTAGCCTCTAACTCATGAATTTCCTGCCTTAGTCTCTCCAGTACTGGGATTGTAGGTGCGAACTACCACAGCCCGGAAATATCTGGGTTTGTACTCACACGTGTAAGGCTCCTACTGAGCTCATGCTTGGCTTCATTGCTCTTTTGCAACAGGAAGCTTAAGGCCACCAGGAAAGCCTCTCACCTGCCCTTCAGCGGTTCTTAGTTGGATAATAGATGAACACACAAAGCCAGCTTCTGAGATCAGTTTTGGAGCACTATGGCAAATATTTTAGTAAAATCAGACACCAATCTCTTGAGACATGTAAATCTAATCAGCTGTTTATATTTTGATGAGAGCACCTCAACTTCATTCTCTCTTTAACTATAATTGTTATGTGTCTGATAACATAATGGCAGAAAGAGCCCTGCACACTAGATGTCTGCTAGCTGCATGCATGGGATTTCAATTAAGCTGAGAGTCTTCATACTTTTTATTTTGTTCTTGAGATGGTTGCAGACGGGCCTCAGACTACTGATGCCACTCACTGCCTCCCCTCCTAAGTGCTGAGGTGACAGGCACACACCACCATGCATGCACAGATGTGTGTTTGTATAAATTAAGGCATACAATCTATTGATTTGATGTACAGAGACCTTATGGCATGTTTACTATCATCAAAATAATTAACCTGTCCATCATCTCACAAAGTGACATTTGTTTGTGGCCAGACCACAAGTTACACTCAGCCGGTTTCAAATGCATGCTATAATGTTAGGGTCTAGAATCCATATGCTGTATATTAGAACTCTAGAACTTACCCATCCCACAATACTGAAGTTTATAGCTTGACCAATATCTCCCTGTTTCTGAACCCTCCCCACTGTTCCTGGGAACTGTCATTTTTTTCTCTGCTCCTATAAATTCAACTTCTTAAAGATTCCACATGTAATGAGATAATGCAGTCTTTGCCTTTGTCTTAACTATTTGATTTAACCTAGGGCATTCTGTGTTCATCTGTGTTGTGAGTGTATACAGAGTGTATGTGCCCATAGAACCCAGAGGCATTGGGTCCCCTGGGGCTGGAGTTACAGATGGTTGTGAGCCGTCTGACATAGATCCTCAACTGGGAACCACACTTGGGTCCTCTAGAAAATCTGCAAGTGCGTTTAACCACTGAGCCATCTCTCTAGCCCCGTACTTAAAAAGCGTGTGTGTGGCGATTCAGACACACTGTGATGTATGTGGGGACTCGGAGGGTAACTTACAGTCTCCTTCCACCTCATCAGTTCCAGGGATTGAACTCAGAGGTGGCAGCAGCCGTCTTATTCTAGTGGGCCATCTGGCAGACCCCAGGATTTCTTTTCTCCCTTTGTATATTGACCACATCCCCTCCCCTTTGCAGTGAGAAGTATTCTCACCACTGAGTTCCTGCCAACAGAATGTGAATGTGAGCAAATGATGGGTATCACTGTCTGGTAAAATCCTCCCTCACAGTCGTGGCACTTCCCTTTCTTTTAGCTTTAGACCAAGTGCCTCGTCTTACTTAAGAGTTAAACGTTGAACTCAGCGTGGTGGTGCACATGTTTATTCCCAGCATTTGGGAGGCAGAAGCAGTGGCTTCAAGGCCAGTCTGGTCGACATAGTAAGTTCAAGCCAAACCAGAACTACATAGTGAGACCCTGCCTCAAATTAATAACAATAATATAGTGAGTTCTGTGTTTCTGAGGATGGGAACAGAAGCACTCATATTTGGGGTTATATATGATGTGATGGTTAATCTTGATTGTCAACTACATTGATCTGAGAGATGCTTAGGAGATGAGTGAAGTGTATCTGTAGTTTGTTTGCGGTAACATTTCTAATATTTAGCAGTTAGTGAGTGTGTGCACGTGTGTCTGTGTGCGGACACGAGTGTCATGGCATGCATGTGGAGGTCACAGGACAGCTTGAAAGAGTCAGTTCCCTCTTTTTATCCTCTGGGTCCTGGGGATTAAACTCAGGTATTCGTCTTAGGCGCTGTGGCCTTTACCACTGTGCCATCTCACTGTCCCTGTGGTGACATTTCCAGTAACAATTAGGCCAGGAGAACTCTAACCTAGTCAATGATTTAGTTCACTGCTAGATTTTAAAATATGGATAGAATTGTTGGGCAGGGTGGGACCACACTGAAGGAAGTGGGTTCCTGGGGCCAATCTTCCGGTGGCTCTCTTGTCTCTAGTCCCTTCCTTTTAGTCCCCTTTCCTCCTGAGGTATGAGGTGAACAACTTTTTCTACCATCCATTCCCATACTCTGCCTCGCCTCTGTCAAGTCAAACTTAGGCAGAAACCTCTGAAAACATGATCTACAATAAAATAAAATAAAATAAAATGTTTTCTCCTTTAAATTGTTTATCTCGGGTGTTTCCCATAACAATAGGGAGTCTTATGAACGCATGTGAATGAGAGTTTTTGTTGGGATTGATAAGGAAATTACCCCTTTGTTAGAGCCCGTTAGCTCACTAAAACTAGTGTAAAACCGATACTGTCTTTTAGAAAAATCTGAACAGGTACACAAGGAAAATGGGATTAAAAGTAAACATCTGTAATATTATTGCTGATGATAACCAGTGTTAGTCTTTTGTTGTAGGAATCTAGTTTTAGGGTAGCAGGGCTGTGGAATTAATATAAAATAAATGACTGGAAATTAAGATCAAGATTTCAATCCCAATTTCTCCTAGATTGCTGCTTCTTCTTCTTCTTCTTCTTCTTCTTCTTCTTCTTCTTCTTCTTCTTCTTCTTCTTTTTCTTCTTCTTCTTCTTCTTTTTCTTCTCTTTTTTTTTTTATAAGATTCTGCTTCTTTACCATAGACAATTAAGAGTTTTGACAACTGTGTTCTATAAATGAGAAAAAGTGTAATTTTTGTTTTGTATTGTAGCAGGATCTAACTGTCCTGGATAGCCTAGAACTCACTGGGTAGGCAAACCTGCTGCCACATTCCTGCTAGCAGAAATCTGCCTGCCTTTGCCCTCTGAGTGCCAGAATTAAAGGTGTACACCACCATGCCCAGCTATATAAGTAAGTATTCTTAAGTGGCCTTATATGCATATATATGTGTATGTGTGTGTGTATATATATATATGGAGAGAGAGTAAAATGGATCGTTTACCACCCCAACAAGTTTTCTTTTCTTAGCCAATAAAAAAGATATTAAGAAAGCCTTATGATCATAATAGCCAAAAAGCTCCAAAGGATGTACCAAGACAGAAGCAGTACAAAGGGAAGCCATGAAGATGATGACAGAGGGGACCAGAAATGAATGTTCCCTGGCAGTCACCTTTGTTCTGGGAAATCCTGAACTACTCTGGGTAAACTTGGTCCTTTGTCGTCAAGTCTGCCATCCCACTGAGTCTTTTCCATGAACAGACATGCTTCAGTGTATCCCGCCTCTGCCTGGGACAGATTGTAACCTGGGGAATGGCAGTATTTTCCATTAGCAATGGCCTTGGGGCTGTAGGGTCTAGGGACACAATGAATGTGGGGGCACAAGCAAATGCCATCCATCTCTTGACCACCACTTTTATCTCTTAACTTCCTGGAAATGGAGACGGGGGTGTCAGCAGTCAACGGAGGAGAACAGAACATTCGCCAGGACACCTGAAGTTCAAGGTTGACAGCGGTGCGGAGGTAGAGCAAGTGAGCCCACATAATGTTCCGTTTGTGAAATTTAGCCTGCATACTGGCTTAACATCAAGGCTGGGTGCTGTTCATTAAAACATGAGCATTCTGATCTTAGGACTTTGAAGATAGGAATCACTCATCCCAAACCAGACACTACCCACAAAAGCTGAGGAGGAAGCCAAACATGGTGAATGATTAGCAAAACGGCCAGACAGCTCCAAAATCTGGGGATGTAGAGTGCATGGAAGGTTATCTTAAGAGGGAAAAAAGCCTGACCACAGGAAACCCATGGAAGTCCTTCACTCCTCTCAGGCCTTCCTCGTTCATCTGGGCATCCCCCATTTGTCTGACTCCATTAGGTGATAAAAATAGGGAAAGTTCCTCAGAATTCATTTCAAATGAGTTTGTTAACTGTGGTGAAACACTCCTCACAGAGCTTAAAAATATAGTGTATACACATACGCGCGCACACACACACACACACACACACACACTTTACAAATGTCCCTTAACAATGAATCTTTAGAATTAGAGAATAGCGAGCCCGGTGTGGGGACTTGTGTGTTTATCCCATCCCAGCACTTGAGAGGCTGAGGCAGCAAGAGTGTCCTAAGTCTGAAGACAAGTTGAGCTATGTAATGAGGTCTAGGCTAACCTTGAGCGGGGAGGGGAGGGGGGAAGCGGAAACAAAACAGACAGGGAAAGGAGGGCAACCAGAAAATGTCCCAAGTGCTGTCTAGAATGTATGTGAAGAGATGTCACTGGCCAGAGTTATCAGGGGAGAGACACAGGGTAGACTAG